TTGATAATTGTCATTGGCGTGAAAAGGAATCTAGGTTCGCGCTGAGTTCTCATGCGCCACTGCTTGTCTGTGATAGTGCAAAGTACCCTTTTGGTCCAACTTCCAGATTGCTGCAGACGAAAGGGTGACAGCTCAGCTACATTGGCTATACGGCTATACATGCTGAGCTCAATCAGAATCAACAGCAAAGATACAAAGACAGAATTCAATGCTCCGTGAACTACCACGAAAGCTGAAACTGCCAGGTGCTCATGCGGCATAAAGTGCCTTGGCTTTCACATAGAGAGCCTTGCCCTGCGCCGTCTTTCCGTTCACAGCGCAAAAACCTTTGATGCCCAACTCCTTCCTGGCCTGGATCACTGCGTTGTTCCAGCCGGAGATGTTCTTGAAGCGGTTCTTGGCCGCGGCATTGGCCTTCTTGCTCACCACTTTTCCTCTCTTGTTGATCATGAGATCATTGCGTGTGTGCCCAGAGGAAGTTTTCTCCTTCTTGCCCTTGAAGACGGCGATCTTGGCACGCTTGCCTCGAGCAATCTTGCTCACTGCCTTCTTCTTCATGACACGAGCTTTCATCGCAGTCGTTGCTTTCATCGCCTTCATGGCCTTCATGGCCTTCATTGCCTTCATTGCGGACTTCATTTTGATCCAATTTTCACCTACAAAATGCAGATGAGGGATCTCGGACCCAAGAAAAGAACTTGAATCTGTTACCCCAGGTGAAGGGCCACAGGCCCACAAAATTGTTGCCAAAAGATCATGCTGGAAAAGCGCATGAATGCAATCTGCCCCGGATTCAACAAAAGATCCAAGCGAGACAAGCTATACAAAAGAATCACAAGGATCAAATTCGAGAAGAAATGCGCACAGCCAAGGACAAAGCATCCACAAAACGGACACAGTGCCGATGCACGCCAAAACTGAGAGCCAACGAAAAAATTACTGATCATGTTCATTGGCAGCTCCCAAAACAGCCGCCATGCAAGCACAAATGTCTACACACTTTGACTGTAGAAAAGCTGACAAACCCAGAGTGGGGATGCCACAAATTGATGCGACAGAGTCGCTTGCAGCAAGCTGGGCGCAAATCACAGGGGCATGCTCACCCAAGCAGGAAGACCTGACATAATCCCAACGCGGACATTGCCACCAACGATGAATCTCGGTTTCAACACCAAGGCGACAAAACGGACAAGTAGCAGACACAGTACCGCGAGAAGACCGGTTCAGACGATCAGCAGTGAGAGTGGCACCTTGCATAATACAACGAATACTGCATGCAACCTCATCGGAACCCAGAACACGACGCAACAGAGCCCGATCAACATGTTCCAAATTGCGCATGTCACGTCTGCGCCGACTAGCAGTCTGAAAACACACATGGCGCATGGCATCGCGCAAAGCATGCAAGCATGAAAGGCTATGTTGATGCAGTTCCCTCTTATGAAGCAAACGTGTGCTTGCAAAAGTTTTCATCACATCAGCCATATCAGAGGCCTGGGCGAAGGATTGACACATAACTCTGCGGCGACATTCCATGGTCTTGCAGACTAGATGAAACATTTGTCCGCTTTGAGACGCCAGTTGATTCCAAGCAACCCCCCTCCACCCAAAAGCCTGAAGGGCCTGTTGAAGCCGAACATAAAAGGAATCAGCAGGAGGACAAGTCATTTCAGAACATAAATGGAAATGGGACTGCAAAAGCTGTTGATATTCCAAATTGGTATTTGCCAGCCGAAACAACAACGCAACCTGTTCATGAAGCAGCGCATGAGGAATAGAGGACCGATGAATAGGACTGAGAAGAGCAAGACTAACTTCTAAGCACCTACGGGTATTGGTGCGACCACCAGAGAGCACATTGACAAGGATGCGCTGTGTGCGAGCATCAACCGCACTCAGAGGATCCCAAGCGATAGCAGAGTAAGTGAGCATATTCATCAAAGCCCCAATATCTCTAGATCGAGGTTCATACCCGACTGACAAACACTTGAACCGTTTGGCAATGGTTAAGAACTTGTCCAACAACGCAGTCCAGTGAGCAGAAGAGCCAACGCAGAGAGCGCCGAGATCAAAATGCCCACCCAATATTTCCAAAATAGTGAGACGCCCCAAGTTGACGCCTCCAATTTGAAAATGAGCCGCGCTCACGGCATCATTGCCTGGACAAGTACTGGCCCACTTGCACTTACCGATGTTCAAGGTGACATGCTGGTCCTGAAGCCAACTAACAAAGAAATCATGCGCAGCGTGAAGCTGAGACAGATGAGGCGAAGACAACAGGACATCATCAGCATAAAGCGAGATAGAAACCTCAGGAAAACGACGAGCCAACTCACGAATAGGACAGCAGAGAAACGCAGACAAACACGCCGGAGCGCTAGGGTCCCCTTGAAACAGGCCGTTAGTACTGGAGAAGGACGCGTCAGAGAAACGACCTTGGAGTTTCCAAATACGACGAAGACCAGACCACAGACTGTGAAGAGCACTAGCACACGCAGGTTGCACGCCGCATTCAACCAAGCTGTCACGCACTTTGCGCCAAGGAAGCGAGTCGAAACACTTGTGCATGTCATAGGAAACCAAATAAACATGACAACCAGACAAGGAAGCATTTTGACAACGAAGATACGTGGAGGCCATAGCAGCTTGGGCAGACTCACCAGTGCGAAAGCCATGAGAGCACGATGGCAGAGAACACTCCAAAACAGCATGCAGACGTTGCGCAACGACACCAGACCAAGCACGGTAAACCACAGAAGCCACAGAGATCGGACGCAAACCAGCAGGATCAGTCAGAAAGTCAACAGAAGCTTTCTTGGGAATCAAAGTAGTCACAACCGTGCGCAAACAAGGATGCCAAGTGCCAGAAGCAGCCATGCCATACAAAACCTGAGCCAAGAGATCCCAGAAACAGGCGGGCAAGGCAAGCAACTCACACCGACGCCAACCGTCAGCACCACAAGCGGAGTGAGCCGCAATTTTGTCAACTGCAGACCGAAGATCAGAACCAGACATGCGAAGCATATCAAGCTGGTGCAACGTACTTTTGAGAGAGCTAGACAAGGCAGGCTCAGCAAAACCATTTTCGGTGAAGTTTGATGGGCAAGAAGGGGCTGCATCCGGGCGTCGAGCCAAGATCGGTTGCCAGATCTCTTCAACCTTTCGAAAGCAAGCAACGGTATCGTGAATGTTTTGCCAGGAGGTGTATTTGGCCTTAGCCCATTTGAATCTTTCAGCCTGCGACATTTGCATGCGAGTGCGCCAGGCCGACAAAACTTCATCGCGACGTTGTTTATTGCGCCGATCAATCGTGCGCCGCAACCAATCAAGTTGAGTTTGGACTTCAACCTTGCCAGGGAGTTGGCTCGGGAGAGGATGAGAGCGAAACACAAGGAGGATGCGACGACGAGCATTTGTCCAGATGGCTTGGCTGTGATTGTTAGCAACACAAGAATCCCAACAGGAGCACAGTTCAGCTAAGCCAGCACGAGCGCGTTCAAGTCGACGAAAGTCAACATCACCTTGGAGCCGAAGAGACTGCGGATCACAAACCCTAAGAGCAGGAACAACAGCGCGACCGAAATGGGAGGAGCACACAGTTTTTCCACCAAGTCGGCACTGCCGCGCAAGTTCACATTCAGCGAGTTGGGTCCATAGAGCATACGCATCATCAGGGCGTTCATCTTCAAGGAGATTAGAGACATGAATAAAGTCAGCAGACCAATCCTGGGACAGTCATTGCGGACTTCATTGGGAGAGCCATGCTGAAGCAAAAGCAGTCGATTGGATGATCTAAGGCCGAGCAAACTACAAGCTCGGAGCATGGAGCCAAGAACAACCCGTGAAAACATGCCAAAAACAGATCAATAATCGCCTCAGAATGGTTTTCCGAATCCTCCTGACACATGACCTGACCTGGATGCATGCCTTTTGCACACCTCGGGTCAGGCCCATCATTGGACAGGTTCAAGCAAAAAAATGTGGGAGACCATAGAAATTCATCGCCAAACATTGGATACATCCCCAAATTACCACAGGGATTCATGGGAAATCATGGGAAATCATGGGAAACCAAAAAAATCACTGATGTCACATAGTAAGTTGGAGAAATTCGTGGTGTTCCAGCAATGCCTGTTGACATTTGCAAACATTATCCCATCAATTATGTCAATATTGATAATTGTCATTGGCGTGAAAAGGAATCTAGGTTTGCGCCGAGTTCTCATGCGCCACTGCTTGTCTGTGATAGTGCAAAGTACCCTTTTGGTCCAACTTCCAGATTGCTGCAGACGAAAGGGTGACAGCTCAGCTACATTGGCTATACGGCTATACATGCTGAGCTCAATCAGAATCAACAAAGATACAAAGACAGAATTCAATGCTCCGTGAACTACCACGAAAGCTGAAACTGCCAGGTGCTCATGCGGCATAAAGTGCCTTGGCTTTCACATAGAGAGCCTTGCCCTGCGCCGTCTTTCCGTTCACAGCGCAAAAACCTTTGATGCCCAACTCCTTCCTGGCCTGGATCACTGCGTTGTTCCAGCCGGAGATGTTCTTGAAGCGGTTCTTGGCCGCGGCATTGGCCTTCTTGCTCACCACTTTTCCTCTCTTGTTGATCATGAGATCATTGCGTGTGTGCCCAGAGGAAGTTTTCTCCTTCTTGCCCTTGAAGACGGCGATCTTGGCACGCTTGCCTCGAGCAATCTTGCTCACTGCCTTCTTCTTCATGACACGAGCTTTCATCGCAGTCGTTGCTTTCATCGCCTTCATGGCCTTCATGGCCTTCATTGCCTTCATTGCGGACTTCATTGGGAGAGCCATGCTGAAGCAAAAGCAGTCGATTGGATGATCTAAGGCCGAGCAAACTACAAGCTCGGAGCATGGAGCCAAGAACAACCCGTGAAAACATGCCAAAAACAGATCAATAATCGCCTCAGAATGGTTTTCCGAATCTTCCTGACACATGACCTGACCCGGATGCATACCAAACGCCAAGGCGCTGCTCCACGGCACCAAACTGTTCTCCGAGCCGCTGGAGGCCCTGCAGATGGGCAAAGCATCATGATACATCATGATACACATTGAAACCATAGGAAAATGGTGGTTTAATGGTGGTTTAATGGTGGTTTAACCAACAAAATGGTGGTTTTAATGGGATTTACCCGGCCTGGTAAACATACAAAAAGCTATGGAAAATTGCCATAGAAATAGTGGATTTACCCATTGAAAAAATGGTGTGAAAAAATGGTGATGTTCCATAGTTATGTAAACGTTTACCAGAGGGTAAATGGCTATAGTAACCACCATTCAACCAAAATGATCCCACCACGGGATTTCTCATAGGAACCGCCTGCAGGGTGGTATTCTGGGGCAGGCCATCGATGTGCACTGTGCGCAACTTCCTGGCCTGGCTCCGGAAATCGTTCCGGAAAAAGTTGGGAGGATTCTCCCAAAAAAATGCTGGGTTTGTTGGGGTGATTCTCCCAAAGATCCCAAAAAAATGCTGGTTTTGTTGGGGTGATAAACAAAGATTCCCAACCTGATGGTTTGAAAGAAAAGTCACTCACTACCAGTCTGGTTATGTCTGGTTGATGGTTTGAGGAAATCAGCCCAAATGTATTTGAAAAGATTGAAAAAACAGGTTGAAACAGTTGAAACCACTCATTTGATCATCATAATTGGAATCCTTGCGGAACAAAGTTTGAGACATTGAAACACCGCAAATGTCAGTCGCTCTACTCGTCACCATCCCATTTGTAGGGCTTAGCCAACCCATCCAATGCTGGGGGTATAGAATATAATTCTATTTTTACATATTATCATGAAATGATCCCTCTTTGTCCCCATGTATTAGGCACGTGGAAGCCACACATTGAAAGCTTTGTCGCGTGGTGTGCCTCTGCATGTTCGCGCAGCTTCTTGTGCCACTCTTGCCTCAAGTTCCAGGGTATCCACTGCCCCCAAAATTGGTATTGATTGTCTGCGGGTCTATCGTCATTTTCCCCTTGCAATGGCCATTTTGGGGGGTATTTTTGGGGGTATACCCCATTTTTAGACATCCAAATCTTCCACAATGATGATCCATTCCCCAGCAACGAAACGGTCAGCCCCCTGTCCCGCCTTGCCACCTCAGGATCTTCCTCCGAGTCAAAAGAAGGGGGCTAGATACACTGTTCCACATGGATTAAGTATGTAATATACAATTCTGTAACCCAATGGTCTGGTCTGTATATCTCCATCCAAAAAACCATCCAAAAAACCATCCAAAAAAAGGCCAATGTCCAAAGGTAGCTGCAGAATTGGATCATCATCCCCATCCCCAGGTCCCCAGGTCCCCCATCCCCCGATCCCCCGTGCCGTCCTTGTTGGCCGCGTCCTCCTTCGCCTGCAGCCGCGCCAGCACTTCGTTGGCCGCAAAGCTGGTGGGGTCGATGGCGCTGCAGCGGATGCCGGTGCCACAAATCGGAGTGCCTGCGGCGGGGGATGGGAGGCAAATGGATTGCTTGAAGAATGGTAGGTTTGATTCTTGGTTACTGGGTTACTGTTGTGTTGATTCATGTTTTCTTGAATTTGGGCGATAGTTGACAATTCTTTGAGGATTTGGTGATGACGTTAGTGTGGGATGATTTCGAATGATTGTTCTGATGGTTTCCCACAATTCTTGAGGACTCGAGGCCAGAAAATCTATCAAGATTCAAAGTGGCACTATGTACGGGAAAGCAAAGTGTCAAACACCTTCCAATTTAGGATTGATGAGCACAAGGAAGTTTGCACCCTAGTTGGGGGGTTACATCCAAACTTATGCGGGTTACTACCATGGTTGTACGCATTAAAATGAACCCCACTGCACCCCAAAGTATGGATCGATGTTCATCGGTGAAATATCCATGGCTGGTCTTGTGCCTTCCATCTTGCTGCCCTGAACCACACCCTCGGGCGAACGGAAGTTGAGCTGCGCGTACCATTTCAGCGACCCTGGATATGTGCCTTGCGTGGCAATGACAGAATTCTCAGGGCTGTTGAACAAGAAACTAAAACCGCATCAGAGCATCAGTATCGCAACTCCGTTTCCAAAACCGCTATCCCGCTATGAGGCTCCACCCCTCTTTGATCCTCCTTGCAATTCGATTTTTTGCCCAGCCACGAAAGATGACCTCATCCAACTGGCCACAGGAGTGAAAAACCTCCCGCAAAGAGTTCTCGGTGACCTCGGGTGTCACCGTGGGGCCAACCCATGGGGTTTTAGCCAGGGAAAATGATCAAAAAAAATGGTGGGTTTTCCACTCCACTCCACATTTATGTTGGTTTACAGGAGGGTAACACTATATAATATCCATCAATATCCATCAATAAATGGTCAAAATGGTTGATAACTATATAATATCCATCAATAAATGGTCAAAATGGTTGTTAACTTGGGTATATCATCCGTCAATTGATGGTAGTTCCCTTTCCCCGTGCATATTAAACACACCCTATAAACCACAAGGTTTAGTGGGATTTACGCATTCATAGGGGACCAAGTATTCATTCATGGTGAAAATAATCGATGGTTGAATTTCACAGCAAAATTCAAACAGATCAAAACCATTGAGAACAAAATGGTCATCGGGACGGTTGTGAAAACAAAACAGGTAACTATTGGGACTATTGGGCAAAAAAAATGCAAAGTTTCAAAAGTTTCCAGGCGTGCTGCATTGTAAACTTGGAGCCCACTGCCGGTGACCACTTGAAACTTCTGGCTTAGTACTGGCCCCATTCCTTTTGGAATGAGGGGTATATGATGTCATATTGGCTAAAATTCTCCACTTTACAATGGTGAAACCATGTTAACCGCCCCCATTCTTGTTGATGTTCAACCCTCAATCATCCGAATCATCCCTTCCCCTGATCCTGACAAATTCAAAGATCACCCATTTTGAAAAAACAAACTGAATATACCCTCTGGTAATTTAACGTAGCTATGGAAAATCACCATTTTTAATGGGAATATCCACTATAAATGGCCATTTTCAATAGCTATGTTAAATTACCAGAGGGTAGATCAAATACTAAACCAGGCTTTTGTTCGGGTGGTATAAAAAAACATTAACACAAACTGGGGGATGTTTTCCGAGGTACATTGACGCTGAGGTTGCTGACCTCAAGGGCGCGGGCCAAAGAATGTCGGTTCTAAATGGTTGATGAATGTTCATGATATATTCATGAATATTCATGATGGGTCCATATACCATTTTTTTTGGGTTGTTTTTATCCAATGGTTGATTTTTATGGTCATGATGGGTCCAGATATTGGACCATGAGCCGAGAGCCAAGTGGCGTAGAGGCTGTTCTTGTCCTTCACATCAACAATTGCCCCCAGAGACACCGCCGCAATGACCGAGGGGGTCGTTGTGCTCGGCATGGCAAAAACGACTGGCTCAAAGATGAAATTCGATGATTGTTTGGCACTTAATTAGGCAGGCTGCCGGACACTCATCGGCTAATGGACTTAGAAAAAAGAATCCAGCGATCTAAATACCAAATCACAATCTTCTCATTTTTTGCAGTGGATATGAAGCATATTTATCCATATTGTTCCACCGTCGGAAGAAAAAATGACTAAGGTTGATGAAGACCTTCTGAGCTATGCTGCATTTTCCTGTGACAGTTCTGTCTTCCCGCAGTTCTTTGGCTGCAACGCCACCGTTGAGGATAGAGTCGGATAGAGGGGAGATTATCCATGGAATTCCACAGGCATCTCAGGAGGTCCCTTTGCTGGCGAGGCAGTAAAAAACCTTGAAGAATCCTTGGAAGGTATGGTTCTGGGGAGCGATTGAGCAGTTGCAACCCTTTTTTCACTTCTTTTGGTGCACAGGATCTACTTGGATCGGGCTCATGATTCCTGAAATCCCTCCTCGAAAGTTCTGTGTCACCACTGCCGCATTTAGAATCAAGTCTGTTCGCACCGCCACACGCGAAGAGTCAAGAGATGCCAATCTGGCCATGTGTTAAAAAAAGGTTGCAACTATTAAAATGAATCTTCAAAACCACCCCGCAACAAACTTTTTCCAACCTGTTCCCCATTTAAAAAATCAAAACATCGAACCAAAAAAAAATGGGAAAAAAAAAACTAGAAGTTTAAAAAAAAAATGGGAAACAAAAATCTAGAAGTGTTTCCCCCCAGGAAAAATCAACGAAAATGTTGTCCCCCCCCTGCTAAGCTGCCCGGCTCCAGCAGCCGCTGTGGGGCTTCCAGGTCGCCGAAGCGCAGGTGCTCCGCCAGCTTCGTCAAGTCCTCCCCCAGCTGCGGGGAACCTGAGAGAAATGGGCGAAAATTGATGGATGTGTAACGAGATCTAGATAGATATAGATATAGATATTAGATATATATATATATATAGATAGATAGATAGATAGAGATAGAGATAGAGATAGAGATAGAGATAGAGATAGAGATAGAGATAGAGATAGAGATAGAGATAGAGGTAGATCAGATATAGATCAGATATAGATCAGATATAGATATAGACTATGATGTAGATTCAGATGATATGTGATGATATGTGATGATATGTGATGATATGTGACGATATGTGACGATATGTGACGATATGTGATGATATGTGATGATATGTGATGATATGTGATGATATGTGATGATATGTGATGATATGTGATGATATGTGATGATATGTGATGATATGTGGATCATCAACGGACGTGATTAAAAAAAAAAAAAACATCATCAGACATGTCTTTTTGTTGTGTCTTGTCCTAAACCTTGACCCAAACAGACTCCACACGGGCAATGAGGTCACTTCAGTTCTTTTCGCGGGTGTGAAGTTGTACATGAGTTGACCCCTTGGCCATGACATTTGCGAAAACGCAGAGTCGCAGAGCAAGGCGACAAAGGACTATTTCGATATGTGAAACCTCATCTAAACTAATTAAACATGTTGTTTGTGTTTTTGATGCATGTCCATCACTGATTCTGGCACTTTCCAACACCTCTCACAATCCAAGCGATGTCATCAGCTTTCAAGGAGTTTCTGGAATTATCTCCTGTACTTGAGCAGTTGGTGGCATCAAAGTTCGCTTCACCATTGTCGAAGCAGGCATTGCGCCTCCAGGTGAAAAAAGCATGTGTTTCATTCATAATCTTCAGGTCACCAATGCCAAAGGCACCTTGTCGAAAGGCGGACCAGGCCTTGTGGGGATTCTCAAAGGGGAGCCAATGGGCGTAGGGTCCTTCCCGGTTCCCGCCATCACCTATGTTGATGTAGCTTGGGCCACAGGCATTGGTCTCGTTCCTATAGGCGGGCCAGGTACGCTCGAAGGAATGCACATGGCCGGCCAGGACCAGATTCACGCCGTGCTCGAAGAAGATATCCTCCAGGTGCTCCATCATCACCTTGCAACAAGGAAACATCCAACAAACATTCCTTAACCTTTGCAAATGATTCAACAGATAAACCGATTTTGGAAAAGCAAAATAGCATGTGTCTATTGTGTCTCCAAAATAGGTCAACCAATGGACCTATGGTCAACCGTCATGGTCAACTCCTGGCCTTGGCTTCACCATAATGTCCCAGATTGGAGTTGTACCAAGGTGCGTGCATCATCGCCACCAGCCAGGGCGTCTTTTTCCGATCAAAACTTTTCAAATCCTGAAGCAACCACCTGTATTGATAGCTCCCTGCTTTGGCACTGGCATAAGAATTCAGTCCCACGACATGCATCGGTCCGATGTCCAAGCTCCAATAGTTGGGGTCCGAGGACCCTGATTGAAGATACGGCATGGGATAGCGGACATTGTAGCTCTTGAAGGCTTCGGCGGAGCCATACTCATGGTTCCCTGGAACTGTCATCACGGGGACCTGCGATCCCAGGGTCTCGAACATGATGCCGAAGGAATCCCAACGCGGGTAGTAGCCATCGGCATAGGAGAGATCTCCAGTCAAAAGGACTACGTCAGGTTTCAAGCCGCTCAACAAGTGCATTGATGAATTGGACACTGGCGTCTGGCCAATATCACCTACCAGGCCTACATGATAGGGATACTTGTACATTGGATATGTGAATGTGAAGCTTCGATCATCATTCTCCACCTGATAGGTGTAAGTTTCTCCTTCTTTCAAACCTGTGAGCACCACGGTGTGCACCTTGGGGGAGTCATAGCGTTCCAAGGGGTTCTTGTACCATCCCATCTTGTTCCCTTCCACCTGCTGCACCCCAATCTCTCTCCAGGATGGATATTTCCAGCCAGTCTTGGGGTCATAGGCCCAGGTGTCGGTGCTCATATCCCGGGCCACGATGGTCTGGTCCAGCCCAAAGCCTCCTTTCAGCGGAGGATCCCACAGCATGGCATTCCAAAACATCAGCTGCGAGTAGGTCTCCGCCTTTCCCACCGCCTCCAAGTCGAAGGTTGCATGGCCTTCGAAACGGCCATAACGCACCCGTGAGGCCGTGTCAGACTCGGGCTGGGAGACGAAGGAGACCACCATCTCTCCAGGGGCTCCAAGCTGGATATGGACCTGTCCACTGCATGGTGGATGTGGGCACTTCTCGTTGGGAATGAATTGGCTCGCCCCCAGATCCAAGTGATTCTTGGGACGCACATATGCACTGGTTTTCACCCCAGTTGGCTGTTCGGAGTGAGCAATTTGGGATTTTTTTGAAGCACCTTGCTGCAGGACATTCAGAGCACAGCCTGAGGTGTCCGAGTCACATTCATCATCAAATTCATCTTGTGGCATCTGCACACTGGCCAGCGCAAGGCCGGCGAACAAAAATCTCAACATCGTGGCTGCAAAGCGCTTCTAATAAGACAAGGGAGCCGTGAATAGCTGAGAGCCATCTTTGAGCCAGAAGCCATAGGGTCATTGGCAAACGACAATGGTATTCTCGGACCCTGTTGATTGTATTGATTCTGATTTCTGATGTCTTCAGAATGCTTGAAATCCTACAATCAAGTGGATCTTCATTGATATAGGTCGGGAGCACGGAGTGGGCAAGTAAAACGATGCCTCAAATCCTTTGTAAGCAGCGGTGAATAAAAAGGACTCAGAGCCAGCACATCAGGGCATCAAAAAGCATAGTTTCGATGCACGATACTCTTTGCTTTCAACACCACAGCTCTTATCCTCTTGATCACAGCATTTAATCATGCAAATTGAGGGTCGCCATTGGTGTTTACTCGAAAAAAACATCGGAAAAAAAAAAAAAAAACATACTGCCCATACTGCCCATAGTATTCATCGTTTCCATTCAATCGGTACTAATATCTTTTTTCCATGGATCGATGACAAAATGTGCAGAAGACAGCCATGGCCTGGGCACTCTGGGCAGCCGGGCGCAAGAAGGCGTTGAATGGGCCCAGCAAGCCGCCAGTGGCCTCATTCACTCTGGTCTTCAAAGGCCTAAGACGTTCAAAGGCCACGGCATGCCACGGCATGCCACGGCGAAGATATCATGAATTACGATATGTTTATAGAATATTGGTAGAAAAATTGGTATGATATGTGTAGACCTTCTTTTTGCCCTGGCTGGTTCGTATAGTTAGTTTTCCTTCTCCCCTCATGGGAGGAATACGTTCAGGAGATGTTCCACGGTTCCACGTGATTAAAATATCATATATATATATATATCATATATATATATACTGTATATACATAGTAGATACATACATATACATGTGTGTATTTATGATGTGTGTGTATCCATATATCCGCACATCCATCTCCATCCATCTCCATCCATCTCCATCCATCTCCATCCATCTCCATCCATCTCCATCCATGTGTCCTGAAGCATTTGGATCTTCATCCCCCATCAACCGCTCGTGAGGTTGGCACTTGCCGGAGGAATCTTTGGCACCAGCAACGATCTGGTCCTAAATGGCCGCTCGACGCTTCCACAGCAGAGCCGATGACACGAATTTGTTGGGACTTGAAGTGCAGCGTGTAGAATATATACCACCATTGATATCTATACATTATAACTAATTTGAACTGATATATCACTATTTACTGTATCCCCAAATATGACAGGGAATTGACATGGTATATGTACAGCTCCATACGGAAGTCTCCAACACTCATTGACATCCGAACGTCGCTTCACAGCGGGTGTCCCGTTTTGTGAACGTCCACCAAGCGCAGTCCAGTCACGTAGAGTTTTTTCTGTTTCTCTGATAGGTTGGTTGGTAGCAGCTCTGGCAGACGCGACAGAGTCATGGTGTGCCCTAAAAACTGGGCTCCAAAGGCGCTGTCTTCGTGGTTCAATTGTGGTTCATCGTGGATGCAAACTCCAAATGATCATCATAAATATCATGATTGCAGGCCACCTGCGCCCAAACCAGGACTGTACTCTCAAGCAGAATCGATGTCATTATGCACATGTGTGTCAATCTTTAAAATTTCAGATCGTGAGAGGTTGGCTGAGTCGAGCCGCAAGCTACAGAGGCACAGAGGTTACAGAGTGTCTTGCAGAAACTCAAAGGCTTTTGCACACAAACGGTCACGGATATAGGCTGATATCACGCTCGGAGGTACTTTTTTGGAACAGGCCGTAACTAGACTGCCATGCGGCCATGCTATGTACATCTGGATTTCACTTTGAATTTGCAGATTCACTGGACTTTGTCCAGAGCTCTGGTTTGGGTTGCTTCTGATTTGAAGCCAAAGGGCACAAACTGTGCTGATTTAGCTATGGATGGTGCTAGGCCCAGCAATTCCAACACATGAAACATGCCCCCTGTACTGTCGTGCCGGCAAAATCGATGTCAAATTCCCCCAGCTACACTTTATCTGTGCAAACTCACCCATAACACAAATGACACTGTCTCCATTCAACCCATTTCCGAGTTTATTTAAGTCACTGCAGACCCGCTGAAAACCAGGCGTCTGTGCACCTGATGCCTCACTCACTGAGGCTGATCTCGATCTCTGCGAGCTCAGACTCATCTGGTGGCTTGGACGCTTCCAGTACTTCCGGCACGTCCGGCACGTCCTGCAGTCATCATGGGCTCCAGTTGCAAGAATAAATGCCAAACATCTGGTGGATGATCCTGTCCCTGTTGTGGTTCACCTTCAAATTGCTCTTTGCAAAGCATGTCCTTCCGAGGAACTGGTTCTTTAGAGGAGCTATTCTCCTGTCGCCAGGTTCTCAAAGTCCGCAGTTCTACCGTTTTTCAGAACCTGCAGTTCTTACTTTACAGATCAATGGATTGATGTGCTGGATTTTTTTCCAGGAAACCGCATAGTTAACAAAAAAAACATCCAAAAATCGTGTGGTTTTTCCGGTGTCGATTTTCCCAGTCGTCAGCCGGACAGTTTCGCAGAGCCTCTTTCTCCATGTAAATCTTAGCGACATCTTCTTCGGGCTCTGGATCTGGTGGATCTGGGGCCTCATGGAGACTGTTTGGCGCTGCGCTACCAGAAAAAGATGGAAAAATGCTAAGCACGTCTATATTATATATATATACATATCATATGATCACTATTTAGTTCAGTGATTTTAAACGTTAAAAAACCAACGAACCTTTTAAAGGAAGACAATCCTGGTGCTGTTCGCCGCCTCCAAGAATTGCAGGAGCAGAGCCACCAGCGACGGTGGGGCTTCACCTTTGTTCACCACCTTCGCTAGGGCTCCGAACCTCGCGGCGGACGGGGGGGACGATACCCCAAAAATCCTGGCACTGTACATGGTGTTGTGTTTTCCAAAAAAAATAACGCATCACCAAACCGTGAAAATTTTGGGGTAGCCTGTTTTCAAAGGAACCCGAGCCTACTTGGAACCGGAAGAATGTGGAGTTTTCCGAACATGGTGATATTCGAACCAGCAAAATGGGAAAATTGGGCAAATGGATCGAAATTTATGGTTGGTTTCTTCAACACAAAGAGTTGGTCATTTTTTCGCAGTGTTCAAAACCAGGTCTATGGATTCCACTAATGAAGTGTAATGATCCCAATATATTGGTTAGTAACGTACAGATACCCTCTGGTAAACTAACATAACTATGGAAAATCACCATTTTTCATGGGAAAACTCACTATAAATGGCCATGTTCAATAGCTATGTTAAATTACCAGAGGGTATAATCCCCGATCTAACCATCAGCCAGGGGTAGATCCCACTGTTCGGTTCGCTGTTCTGTCGAGGCGCCACGCTGTCAATCTCGCTGTGGTTCCAGGTAAACCACCTCCGAAACGGCCGTCATTTCGGGGAAATTCATGGGAGGTACTGCCAAGATGCTGAAGATCGGTCATCTGAAGCCTGAAGCTCTCCTATGATGTTGCTGCTGTTCGAGTTCTAATGCGACACGACCTGTCTGTGATAGTTCAAAGTACCCTTTTGGTCCAACTTCCAGATTGCTGCAGACGAAAGGGTGACAGCTCAGCTACATTGGCTATACGGCTATACATGCTGAGCTCAATCAGAATCAACAGCAAAGATACAAAGACAGAATTCAATGCTCCGTGAACTACCACGAAAGCTGAAACTGCCAGGTGCTCATGCGGCATAAAGTGCCTTGGCTTTCACATAGAGAGCCTTGCCCTGCGCCGTCTTTCCGTTCACAGCGCAAAAACCTTTGATGCCCAACTCCTTCCTGGCCTGGATCACTGCGTTGTTCCAGCCGGAGATGTTCTTGAAGCGGTTCTTGGCCGCGGCATTGGCCTTCTTGCTCACCACTTTTCCTCTCTTGTTGATCATGAGATCATTGCGTGTGTGCCCAGAGGAAGTTTTCTCCTTCTTGCCCTTGAAGACGGCGATCTTGGCATGCTTGCCTCGAGCAATCTTGCTCACTGCCTTCTTCTTCATGACACGAGCTTTCATCGCAGTCGTTGCTTTCATCGCCTTCATGGCCTTCATGGCCTTCATTGCCTTCATTGCGGACTTCATCGGGAGAGCCATGCTGAAGCAAAAGCAGTCGATTGGATGATCGAAGGCCGAGCAAACTACAAGCTCGGAGCATGGAGCCAAGAACAACCCGTGAAGACATGCCAAAAACAGATCAATCATCGCCTCAGAATGGTTTTCCGAATCTTCCTGACACATGACCTGACCAGGATGCATTGAAGTATCATCAATACACAGGAATACATTGCTTTCACCATCCTGGGTTGAGTTGTTGGCTCCCCAGTGGTGCCTTTCAGCGCAAAAGGCGTCTTGGAGAAGTGTGCAGCGTAGTTCTGCCCCAAGACATCTTTGACTCGATCCTGGACACAACGTGACACATTTGGGTGTGTGCTTTCCCGGGTTTTACCGCAAAAAAATAAAAGCCTGTTCAACAATCAGCCAAATGTGTTTTGTGTGTGTTACCCTCTGGTAAACTAACATAACTATGGAAAATCACCATTTTTAATGGGAAAACTCACTATTTCTATGGCCATTTTCAATAGCAATGTTAGTCATTGCCAGAGGGTACAAAAAACACAACTGCCAATGTCACGGCTATCAATGGAAGAAATGTCCCACGATAATCAAACTGCAGCTTTGCATCCAAGTGGGTTTGTCTGAAAGTGGGGTACTCCAAAATCCTACAGTCTAACATCATGTTCCCCCATTATCTCACAAACGGGGGACTAAATATCAAATTGACAAATACATATAGATATTTATATATATATAGCTAGATATAGATACAGATATACATAGATGTATATATATAATATATATGAAAAGATTCAGGCAGCTCTGTTGTATCAATGTTGCAGCTGATGCTGTGCGCGCTCACTCTTTTGTACTGTTGGCAAACAGTCTCAGGATAGCTTCAGGCTCAAGGCCTGTTGATCCATAATGTTGACAGTGACGTCCAGCAGCTGCTGAACTGTACACGAATTGTGTGTTGGACAATGTTGTTACTTAACACGGCCCCTCAATTTGTTGGAGCTTCCAACACATTGCACAAAACAAACATTGTTGAAACGCAATCACATTATGTTGATACTATTGGATTGGGTGTTGATCTCTGTACAGGGCTGATGGCTTGTAGTTTTACATCTGTTGCCCAGCCGCAGATGTTGATCAAACACTCATCTAATTTTGCGCATTCCCGGCTCTCACGTTTGAACCTCTTGTTGCGCAGGGATCTGCTGAAGATCCAAAGACTGTTGGTTGAGGTGCCAGTCTCACCTGTTGGATGACTTCTCATCCTTCCATCTGTTGATCATCATCGGTTGTTGCGCAATTCTCACGCAGCAACTGTTGGATCTCATCCTTGGGCATGGTGAGTGGCAAACTGTTGAGGCGCCACACATTGATCTCTTTGAAATGGTTGTTGATCATCTCTTCTGTCCACTGTTGCTCGACCCATGTTGCCAGGAGGCTGTTGCCTCTGATCCTCTCAACTGCCTTGGCTCCTTGGAACAGGATGTTGCCTGTGTTGATGCCGCTGGTGATGCTGGTGCTGTGCATCTGTTGCAGCATCTCCATCACAGCATCCCTGGTGGATGTTGTGAAATGATGGAGCATCTGTGCTCCACCATACTCCAAGCATTGGAGTACGAGCCTCTTCTCCTGTTGTGTTGATTCCACGTTCATGTTGGACACTTGGACCGGGATGTTGTAGGTCCACATCCAGTCCTTGTTCCACTGGAAATAGTTGCAGATCTGTTGAAGCATGGTGTTGCCTCCATCTGCATTGATCTCCCAGATCTGTTGGGATGCCAGCTCAAACGTTGCGAAACGAAGGTTGCATCCACTCTCGATCTGTTGCTGTGGATACATGTCGCCCCTGTTGAACATGTTGATCACCTGGTTGCCTGTTCGAAGACGATGTTGTTGAACATCCTCAACCCAGGTAATCATGAGCCACTTTGTTGGAATCTTCGTTGTAACATGCATCTCTGTTGCGTGCATGTACATTGTTGTGAGCGCCAGTTGTGGCGAAGGCGCTAAGATCAACTTGTCGAAGTTGGGCATACGTTGGCTGCCCAAAAGTGCTGGGATCACCGTGTTGGTTGACTCCCCAGCCGTCTCTGTTGGTTTGATGGAGTTGTACTCCTCGATGGTCATCAAAACGACAAGACAAATTCATGTTGCAATCCGACATGTTGTCTAAGACAGTCATGTTCCAGAAAGAAAATCACTGAGTTGAATCTGCATGTTGGCCACCATGTTGAAACTTCCCAGTAAATGAATATGTTGATATACTCCATGTTGAAGTAGATAACGTAGATATAGAACATGTTGTCAACCTTTGTTGACACCATGGCTTAAAAAGAAATGTATGTTTGTGTGTGTCTGCCACGCACGATGTTCGCACGTTGTACACGCGTCCGCACGTTAACACGCTAGCTGCAGTGAAACTGTTGTTGTTGCTTGTTGTTGTTTGTTCAGTGATGCTGGGTGCTGATGCCAACATCACTGATGTGACGCAAAAGCGTCTCTGTTGCAACGTACTTGGTGAAGATGTCGGCCGGGTTGTTGATCGTGTTGATCTTGACAATCCTCACAAGGTCGTGTGCGACCAATTGTTGTATGAAAAGGTGTTTGAGCTCGATATGTTTGGCTTTCTTTGATGCTCCGATTCTTGTTGCCATGCTCTTTCCGCTTGATGAGTTGGTATATATGCGGATGTTGATCTTCTTCATGTTGAGAGCTTCCTTCAGGAAATTGCTGATGTGGAGTGCTTCTGTTGCTCCTGTGTTGATCGCATAGAGTTCTGCTTCCGCGCTGCTCAGCGCAATTGTTGCCTGTGTTCTGCTTCCGTAGTGGATTGTTGCGCCGAAGACTTTGATTAAAAATCCTGTTGTTGACTTCCTCGTTGTTGCGCATCCTGCCCAGTCGCTGTCGACAAAGACTTGAATGTCTGGTACTGCTTCAGCTGTTGGTGTCTTGGTTGTAGGTCTCACGTATTGTTTGTAGTGTTGTGTTCCCTTGATGTACCTGAGCAAGTGCTTCAATTTCTGCTGGTCTGCTGTTGTTGGCTGTGTCAGTGCTCTTGCAAGCTCTTTTGTTGCAAAGCCAATGTCTGGCCTTGTGTAGGTCATCCATTGTAGCTTGCTAACCATTCTTCGGTAGGCTGCGTGCTCTTCTTTGTTGAGTTCTTGTTCCATCTCTGGTGTTGCTTTCAGAGTGTTGTTGCCTGGTGCTGGTGCTGGGTTGCGGTTGAGCATGCTGGCTTCTTCCAGTATCTGAGTTGTGTAGCTGTCTGCTAAGCCGATCTCGTAGTAGTCACCTTTGTTGCAGATGTTTCTGCCCAAAAAGCTGATGGTGTTGCCGACTGTGATTTCTCCTGTTGGACGGAGTAGGAGGTGTTGCTGGATGCTCTTGAACAGCTTGTTGACCGTCTCCTCTTGTCCAATGAAGAGCAAGTCGTCGACGTAGCATAGTATGTATGCATCTCCCTGTGGTGTTGCGTAGACGTTGGGCTTGCTGACAAGTCGTGGTAGTCCAAGTTGTTGCATCACCTCTGCCAGGTGATTTTGCCATGCTTTTGGGCTGCTGCGTAAGCCATAGATGGCTTTGTTGAGCCGCCAGACGATCTGGTCGAAGGCGTTGTAGAACTCTGCTGGTGGATACATGAAAAGATCTGCTGTAGCTGCTGCTGCTGCATGTAGAAAGGCTGTTGAAATGTCTCCTGTGAGACAAATCCAGTTGTTGCAAAGTGCAAGGACAAGTAGCATCCTCAGCACACAAAATATTGGCGTTGATGCAAAGATGTCGTCGTTGTCGTTAATCTCCTCTATGTAGCCCTTTGCTACAATTCGTGCTCGAACTGTGTTGCCTTTCTGTCGAAGAACCCATCTTGACTTGGTAATCTTCTTGCGTTGCTCTGGCGTGAGTTGACTTATGTGTACTTCTGTGTGCACTCCTTGTTCCTTCATTGACTTGATCTCTTGCTTCATTCCTTCCGTTGCTTGTTCTTTGTCTAAACCTTCGGTGTTGCTCACCCAAGGTTCCAGGAGAATCTTTTCTGCTTTGATCTCCTGTTCATCCTCATTTGATGTTGCTTCTATCTTCTGTCCTTTCTTTGTTGTGACTGTGACTTGTGATATCCTCATCCTTGTTGTTGGTTGCTCCTGAGCTGTCTCAGGTCTGCTTGCTGCTGTGGCTCTCTCTGTTGTTCTTGCTTGCTTTGGTGAGCTGCCTTGTGTGATCTCATCTGCTACTTCTCTTTTGCCTTGTGTCGGCAATGGAAGTGGCTGCCTTGCTGGCTGAGTTGCTGGCGCTGTTGCCATTGGAAGGTCTGTAAGTGCTGGTGGTGTTGTGGCGTGTGGTTGTCCCATGGCTTGTGGCTGTGGACTCCGCTGAGTCTGTGTACTTGCTGTTGTCTGCCGCTTTGCTGCAGCGGGTTGTGGTAGTACCACAATGCTTGGTGTTGTTGGTGGTATCATGGCTGGTGAAGAGTTGATGATGTCCATCAACTGCTTGTTGTACTTGTCTGGCTTTATTTGTCTTCTTATGGTCCTTGCTCTGACCACTTTGTTGCTGATGCCAAGTATGTTCTCGTTTGTTGAGTTGTCCTTACCCAACCAGATGGCTGGATAGAACCTTGCTTCCATCTTTGGCATATGTTTTGCTGTTGGTAGCATGTAAAGAACTGTTTCACCAAACTCACAGATTGGTGTTTTGTGTTTTTTGCCCCATCGTCTGTAGTAGCTTGTGTTTCCATCTGAGTGGATGGAATACCTGTTGAGCAGGTATGCTGCGTGTTTGATAAGCCACGGCATGATGGGATGCTTGCTGTTGAGCTTGGTACCATAGTTGGTCTCCAGTTGGAGTTTGAGAGCTCTGACTTGGCCCATCAATGTTCTGTGGAAACGTTCAACGCTTCCTTGTGCTTGTGATGTGTAGGCTGGTGCTTGCCTGACTGCTATGTTGCTGCACATGGCTGTTGCCACCATCTTGAGCAAGGAGATGATGAAATCTTCTTGATCTGACTGAAGAACAGTGTTGTTGAGGATTGCATGTGTTCTGCCACATTCCATCAGGAATTGTTGAAGGCAGACCGACAGGTATTGTACATGTTGTGTCTTGTCCTCAAGCTGGACCGCCATGCACATGCCTGTTTCAACGTCCACTGCTGTAAGGGCTGATGTTGTTTGCTTCTCTCCTAATGCTTTGTAGTACATCAGATCCACTTGGATCACTGGTGTTTTGCTTGTTTGCTTCGGGTGGTTGTCCTGTCTTCCTTTGCTTTGTACGCATGTTGGACACCAGCTTCTGTAGGGAAGGTGTGTCAGTTCATGTTCTCTTCTTTCTTGTTCTGTTGGTTGTTGTGGTGTTGGCACTCCTGTTGCTCTCTTGGCTTCTTGTTGCTCCTCTGGCTCATCTGTAATGAACTCGTCTTTGTATGCTGTGTTCTCCTCAAAGTTTGTTGAGCCTGTCCACTCTATGTCGAGTGTTGCTTTCCTCTTTGTTGTCCAATCGCCATCGATTCTGTATCCTCTGTTGCCACTTGTTGGCTTCACCATTGTTTGTCTCCATGTTGTCAGTCTTGTCACATCTGGTCCATCATCTGTTTGTTGTGGAATGTACATGTCCCTTCTTGGTTGGACATGCACACGTTTCCAATATGGACCTTCTTTGATCCAATAGTCCTGTGTTGGACTGACTTCCATTGGATGTGGGACTGCTGTTTGGTGTGGCTTTGTTGTGGTCATTGCTTGACCCGTTGGCCTCACCTTTGTGAGAGGCTTCTTCACGTTGTGTCGATACATTGGTGCTTGTGGTTGGTCAGCTGTGGATTGTTGAGATGTTGCTGGTGTTGGCCCATTGGCTGGTGGAAGTGCTGGTTGTGATGGTATGTTGCCTGGAAGTGTTGTTCCACGCTTCACTTTGAACCATGTTTCTCCTGTCCAGTTGTTTCTTTGTATAATCCTCTTTTGTTGCTTCTTGTCGAGGTCTTGGTATGCTTCTTCGATGACCTCTGTGTTGTTGTTTGGTCTTTGTATGATTGTTCTTCTGTATTTCTCCAACCTTTCTGTTGGAACTGGACATCTGCTGTCTGGCATGAACAATGCCTTGCGTGTTGTCCTGTGGACTCTCACCAAGAAACCTTGGCTGTTGAATGTCCATAGGTCATTCTTGTTGCGAAGGACTTCCATGCCTGTTGGTGTCAGTGTGACTGGTGCTATTCTTGCTGTTGTTCCTTCTGCTGTCTGGTTGACTTCAAGCCTCATGTTGATTGGCAGTGTTACCAATACAACCGGCAAGAAGTAAAGGCCTTCTCGTTGCTTCAGTGCTGAGTTGAATCCCTTGGTGTGTGTGATTGTTGATGTCTCGTTGAGTTGTGTGTTGAACCCTTGCTCTGCCAGTCTTGTTACTGACATGATGGGTTGCGTCACATCACACACGTAGGAGGGAACAACTAGTGTCTGCTTGTTGGTGTTGTGCATGTACACCCATTTGTAGCCGTGCACGTAGATGACTTCATCTGCTGCTGTTCTGAGTCTAGGTCCTTGTCCATGTTGCAATGGATACAGTGGTGTGTCTGGTGCAAACCATGGTGGGCACACATGTGTTGCTGCACCACTGTCAATCATGATGTCCACTTCGACGTCTCCTCTCTGCTGTTGCACTGCCTGAGCTGTTGTGGTTGCTTCATCGTGGGCACTCGCTGCCTGATGGCCCAGTGCTCCCACAAGTTGAATTGTTGGTGTTTGAGTGGTTGTTGATGGTGCTGGCAAAGCTAGCTGTTGTTGTTGTTGGGCTGGCTGAATGTTGTAGTTGCCTGACTGGTCGTTGCTGTACCAGTAGTTGTCATACCCACTGTTTGGGTCATACCATTGGGATGTTCCATCCTGGTTCTGTTCCTGTGGTGTGTCTGCCATGTTGTACACCGCTGTTCGGCAATCCTTTGCCAAGTGGCCCTGTTGACCACATCTGTAGCATATTGTTGTTGGATTCTTCCCTTTTCCTTTGTTGGGAATTCCTTTTGACTTTCCTTTGTTGCCTTTCTCTACTCCTTTTGGCTGATACCATTGCTGTTGCTTTCCTTTGCCTTTTCCTTTGTTGTAACTGCCGTAGCCGCCGTAGCCCTTTCCTTGTTGGTATCCTTTTCCTTTGTGACCTCCTTTGTTGAATCCTTTTCCTTTGTTCTTTCCTTTTCCTTTTCCTTTGCCTTTGTATGTTGCTCCGATGTCCATTGGAGCTGGGCCTCCTCCTAGATTGCTGCTGACTGCTGAAGACGACTGTTGTTGGAGTCTTGAGAACGCTGTTGTGGTCCTATAGTACTCCATGATTGTTGTCCTCACCTCAGCATATGTTGGTGTTGCACTGGCATTGAGGTGTAAGTGTTGTTGGAGTGGTCCTGTTGTCTCATTCATGAGAACTGCTATCGTCACTTGGTCTGGTAGTTGGGCGTTGTTGTCACGCTCGTAGCGTGCAAGCTCAAATTCCCATGTTGAGAAGGACTCCTCAAAGTTGTTGGTGTCGAACTTGGGTTTGAGTAGCTTTGTGAGGTAGCCTATGCTTCTTGTGCCAACAGGTGTTGCAAACGCAAACCTGTTGCACAGTTGTCTGTAGACTTCTAAGCCCATTGCGTCTTGGTATTGTCTGCATATTGTTGCTGCTGGGCCGCTGGTGATGTTAATGAGTATGTATTTGAGGTTGTTGCACAGTTGTGTCCACTTTTCTCCTTCCTCTATTGTTGTTGCTGCACCAAGCAGCTCTGCATCTGTGAGCACTGTTGTTGCTCTTTCTGCTCTTGAAAGCAGTTGTGGAAAGATGTTGTCCTGTAGGCCCATGTATGCTGAGAACTTGTACTTCCACTCTTCGAATGTTGCATAGTTACCATCATATGTTGGAGGTTTCAACTTCAGCCTGTGTGTTGATGCTAGGGCTTCTGCTTGTGTTTCTCCTGCTGTTGGCGATCCTATCTCATATGCCGTTGCCATCCTTGTTGTAGAGAGTCCCCCACACTGTATAGTTGGGATCAAGCCCTCTTCCTGCGCACCTTGTTGTTGAGTTTGTTTCTTTTCCTTGTCGTTGCAGTGGTGGTGTGTTGGGCTGCTACCCTTTGTTGCTCCAGCTGTTGTTGAGAGTCCCCCAGTGTTCTGGGATCAAGCCCTCTGCCTGTTGGAGCTCACCTGGATGCTTCCAGGATCACTGCTCCGCTACCATGAAAAGATTCAGGCAGCTCTGTTGTATCAATGTTGCAGCTGATGCTGTGCGCGCTCACTCTTTTGTACTGTTGGCAAACAGTCTCAGGATAGCTTCAGGCTCAAGGCCTGTTGATCCATAATGTTGACAGTGACATCCAGCAGCTGCTGAACTGTACACGAATTGTGTGTTGGACAATGTTGTTACTTAACAATATATATATATAAACATATTCCATATGAGATACCATATGATATCCCAGATTGTATCCCCATCTTGGGCTTGGTTTCAGCTGCCACGAGCCCTGCCACGGGGTGCTCGCTTGGGCGACCGCACGTGCAGCTCTTCTCTCAAGGTGGACAAGCGCCGCTCGCTTGTCCAACGTAGCGGAGCAGCTGAGACCTGGGATGTGATACCGTCTGTGATGGGAGATGTTTCGAAAGAAAACTCTGTGCATAAACAAAAACTACTATTTACTACATAAACATATGCATATGCATATCAATGTTACGCATACACATACACATATACAATATACATATGTTACATACATACGTATAATATATATATATATACACATGTGGATTCGCATACGTCATGGGTCTGCGCGAGTTTCAAAGAGAAATTCATATACCCAAAACATGGCAGGCATGAACCTGTCACAATGGGGATAGGAATGGGATGTACGGCCAACAAAACGATGTGGCTCAGAAAAGGGTGTGATATCCTTTTCTAACTGACATAGATGCGGAAAAAACCAAACCGGAAACCATGGGTTTTCCACATCTTCAAACGTATGTTTACTCCAGGGTAATGTCCCAGTTGCCATTAGGCCCTGAAATGATGATCAAAATCATGTGGTACTTTAAATGGTTCCACTGCCAGCTCGCACAAAAAATCACCGGGCCTTCCTGAGTTGGAGGAATTTACAGGGAAACCCTTTATACATATCTATATCTATATCTATACCTATATCTATATCTATATCTATATCTGTATCTATCTATCTATTTACCTATCTATCTATATATATATAATATATATATATAATATATATAATATATATAATATATATATAATATATATATACATGTTTACCAGAACATCAAAACATGTGCGGAAACATGGTCCTTTTTTTTGTGTTTATTGATATCTATCCTGGTTTTCCACACCCGGCATCCGCATCGCTCTCTCCGGTGCCTCCAGGCAAACTTTCAGCTGATACCAAGTGTGACCTGGTGGAGCATCGGGTCGTAGTTCACGTCCCGAAATCCGACCAACCCATCTGAAAAATATCAGTTCGTCAGTTGGGATGATCGTTCCCAACATATGCAAAAATGAAAAAATGTTCCAAACCACCAACCAGAGAAGTACAGTTAGATGATCTTCGATTAGCATGATCCATCAACTCTCCAAGAAATATTCAATAGATTTCAGTCATCCCCCAGTCCATATCCGTCTACCTCTGGGGCTAAACCACTAAAATCAACCGTTGCAGCAACGGTCAAAACAGAGTTATTTTTTGAAAAAAAAACATCCGTCACATCTTCGGAATCCTCATGATGGCTATATCCGCCGACCCCTGCCGCCAGCAGGGGGAGCGCATCAGAGGAGGCCTTACTAGCAACAAGGGACGAAAAGAGAAAATTGGACAAGCACGGTTTGAGGCCTGCGACACGGTCCCTGGACCCGAGCTGACGGCAGGAAAAAGGAAGGTTTGAAGCAGGTTTGAAGCTAGTTTCTAGGCAGTTCAGAAAGCGACGTTTGGCAGTATGGGCTGCCGGCCGCAGGCCCGATCCGTCCTTCACTGCCATGGTGTTTGAGGCCTGCGACAGGGTTCTTGGACCCGAGCTGACGGCAGGAAAAAGCAAGGTTTGAAGCTAGTTTCTAGGCAGTTCAGAAAGCGACGTTTGGCAGTATGGGCTGCCGGCCGCGGGCCCGAACCGTCCTTCACTGCCATGGTGTTTGAGGCCTGCGATAGGGTCCTTGGACCCGAGCTGACGGCAGGAAAAAGCAAGGTTTGAAGTTCAGAAAGCGACGTTTGGCACTATGGGCTGCCGGCCGCGGGCTTGATCCGTCCTTCACTGCCATGGTGTTTGAGGCCTGCGACAGGGTCCTTGGACCCGAGCTGACGGCAGGAAAAAGCAAGGTTTGAAGCTAGTTTCTAGGCAGTTTAGAAAGCGACGTTTGGCAGTATGGGCTGCAGGCCGCGGGCCCGATCCGTCCTTCACTGCCATCATGGTGTTTGAGGCCTGCGACAGGGTCCTTGGACCCGAGCTGACGGCAGGAAAAAGCAAGGTTTGATTTGAAGCTAGTTTCTAGGCAGTTCAGAAAGCGACGTTTGGCAGTATGGGCTGCCGGCCGCGGGCCCGATCCGTCCTTCACTGCCATGGTGTTTGAGGCCTGCGACACGGTCCTTGGACCCGGGCTGACGGCAGGAAAAAGCAAGGTTTGAAGCTAGTTTCTAGGCAGTTCAGAAAGCGACGTTTGGCACTCGCGGGCTTGATCCGTCCTTCACTACCATGGTGTTTGATCGAGGCCTGCGACAGGGTCCTTGGACCCGAGCTGACGGCAGGAAAAAGCAAGGTTTGAAGCTAATTTTTCTAGGCAGTTCAGAAAGCGACGTTTGGCACTATGGGCTGCCGGCCGCGGGCCCGATCCGTTCTTCACTGCCATGATGTTTGAGGCCTGCGACAGGGTCCTTGGACCCGAGCTGACGGCAGGAGAAAGCAAATCTAGGCAGTTCAGAAAGCGACGTTTGGCAGTATGGGCTGCCGGCCGCGGGCCCGATCCGTCCTTCACTGCCATGGTGTTTGAGGCCTGCGACAGGGTTCTTGGACCCGAGCTGACGGCAGGAAAAAGCAAGGTTTGAAGCTAGTTTCTAGGCAGTTCAGAAAGCGACGTTTGGCAGTATGGGCTGCCGGCCGCGGGCCCTGGACCGGAGCTGACGGCAGGAAAAAGCAAGGTTTGAAGCTAGTTTCTAGGCAGTTCAGAAAGCGACGTTTGGCAGTATGGGCGCTGGCCGCGGGCCAGATCCGTCCTTCACTGCCATGGTGTTTGAGGCCTGCGACAGGGTCCTTGGACCCGAGCTGACGTACGGCAGGAAAAAGCAAGGTTTGAAGCTAGTTTCTAGGCAGTTCAGAAAGCGGCAAAAGTCCACAACATGGCGCCGTTGCAACAGCTTTGTGTTCGTCCAAACTTGCATTCACGCTTCAGATCGCTTCAGTACAGAGGCTTAAGTGGAGTTTCTGCCCGATATGGTTACGACACAGAGGCAGGCATGACCCTCCAGTGTCCAGGGGTCGGCGGCAGAGGGCGTAGCCCTTTATTGACCTCTACCATCTGGTTATGACTAACAGTTTGCCATGGAAAGATCCACCCATTTTTAAGAACGGTAAACCATCTATTTCGATTAGGGCCATCAAAAAACCATTGCGAACTGTGAATGTCATAACCAGAGGCTACATCAATCCCATCTGGTTAGGGAAAATCACCATTTTTAATAGGTAAAACATCTATAAATGGGCCATCTATACCATGGCTATGTTAGTCATAACCAGCCATCATGGCTGTGTTGGTAAGCGATCTGCCTCCACGCTCCTCATGCCCGGAAACGTCGAAGCTCAGCATGGGAGTTGCAGAGACGCCCGGACGCACCAGCCACATGTCCTGGGTCACTTGGGAGCTGCGATTGATGTAGCCAACCTGGTTATGACATTCACAGTTCGCCATGGTATAGATGTGTATAGATGGCCCATTTATAGATGGTTTACCTATTAAAAATGGTTATGACTAACAGTTCGCCATGGTATAGATGGCCCTAATCGAAATAGATGGTTTACCGTTCTTAAACATGGTGATGATTTTCCATGGCAAACTGTTAGTCATAACCAGATGGTAACATGATTTTTTACCAACAAAAATGCTGGTCAAATCATGAGTTTGACGAATTTTGATGGACTTGGAAAGACTCTGATTGATTTTGACTTTTGCTGTTTGGTTTTGACTTGGGATTGTTTTTGCTGTTGTGCAGGTAACCTCTCCTACACCTTGATGTTACACTTCTCGATTTGTGCAACCTTCAACTGAAGCAACGGCCAACCTGCTTTTTCCTCTGCAGGATGGCTTGATCTCAAAAGAGGGCAGCTGCGGTCACAACTGATGAACCCTCAAGTGAAAATGAAATGAAATGTCTGCAAAATGTAATGGGAAGTCAGCACTCCCCCTTTGGACGTTCGCTAGGGCGTCCAATTCGCTCAAACTACCCTCCCATGCAAGTCTTGCACGCTGGAAGTTCTCTGGCTGACCTTCGTCGAGGGCATCTGGAATCAGTATGGACTGGTGTGCCCCATCCATCGATGTACATGTTGAAGCCTGGAGGTGGTCGTCCTCTCGTAGGCAACTGAACCCTTCGACAGATTCCGCACCACAAAGAAGGCCTCGACGGCCCAACTCTGGGTCCATTCAGGTGCGGGCACATCCTGTCCAAATGATACACTACACCATATCGAGTGGTGAGAACATCAAAGCCCAGCGCGTTCTCATCAGTTTGATCATCTTCTTCTCTTGGAATCTCTTGATTCCTCCATTGGTTGCGGAGCTGATTTTCTTCTTCTTCTATTGATGTCAATGCCCTTCTGATGGCTCCTCGTGTGATGGAACCTTGATTCTCTGATGCAGCACCTGAAGACTGAGTTGTGCTGCTGCTACTACCGGGAATTGGTGCCAAGCTCGAGGCAGAGCTTGGGGGCTCACGAGTCACCGTGTCTGGTTGACTCAGCCCTGCCCTCTTTGGGCCTTCCAGTGGGAGCCGGACTGGGTCTCCCACCTCACCACCGGGAATTGGTGCCAAGCTCGAGGCAGAGCTTGGGGGCTCACGAGTCACCGTGTCTGGTTGACTCGGCCCTGCCCTCTTTGGGCCTTCCAGTGGGAGCCGGACTGGGTCTCCTCCACCCAACCCCACCTCACCACCAGGGATGACCCGGCCCTCTGGGCACCTCGGGTCCTTCGACGGGAGCCGGACTGGGTCTCCTCCACCCAACCCCACCTCACCGTCGGACGCTCGCACCTTCGGCTGAGCGGATTTGGGCTGCTCTTCTGCAGTCTTCTGTTCATTTGGTGGTAAGTGCACTGGTCTTTTGATCTCTTCTTCTTTTTCCTGCTCCTCATCTTCTTTCCCTTCTTGAACCGCCTCTGCTTCCTGGTTCTCTGTCTTTTGGCTCCAACGTCGCCACAACCACTGAATGACGAGGGTGGCAAGGATAACCAGGCAAGTGTATCCTGCCATGAGCATCTGGAGCTCTGTCACTCCTTCTTTTTCTTCTTCTTCATCTTCTTCTTGGCCTTTCGCCGCTGTCAAGGTGGCCATCAAAATGACCAGCTGAATGGCACTGATCGCTACATCTCTCTTCCTTTGTGGATCATTCTCTAGGCAGTGGGCTTGGGACGGGTGCTGACAAGCAACTCCGTCTTGCCCGGCTGGGCGCTGGACCAGATCTCCTCTATCCGACCCCGCGTCGCCAGCCCTGCCTGCTGGGGGCTCTCCCGGGCTTTCTTTACCCAGGGCCACTCCAGTCTTCTGATCCAACTTCGGGCTCCTGCCCATACCCATCAGGGTCTTCAGAGTCTCAAGCCTGTTGGCACTGACAGCCTTAGTGCCCACATCAGCGACTAGACTGTCGCCAGCCATGTGATTGAGTGCCCACAGACCTTGAGTGATGGCCTGTCTCGCGTATGCTGCTTTCATCCTCAAGTGTCTGGTTCTCCAGGACCCTCCTTCTGATGTCATGATCGACACCGCCGCCTGGCTGTCACTCCAGGCAATCTTTTCAACATCTTCATAGATCTCGTCAATGATGACCGAGATAGATTCTGCTGCTCCCATGGCCTCGACGATTTCGTTCAATTCAGCCTCTGCAGTTGAAAGCGTGATAACGCTCTGGCGTCCTGATCTCCAAAAGATCGGTGAGTCGTTGAACTTGATGACGAAGGCTCCATGAGATTCTTCTCCAATTGGGGCAAAGGACGCATCTGAGTATGCGTTGACCACAATGGGTTTTCCGTGGTCTTCATCATACTTCAAACCTTCTTCTTTCGTCCTCAGCAGATATCCCTTCACCTGCTTTGATGCTTCCAAAACTGCTTCAGCTGCCTTGGTGATGTTGGAACCCATTCGGCTGACCCCAAACATCAGGTCAGGTCTGGTGCGAGTCACCAGCCAGAGGGCCTCTCCAACTTCTTTCTGGCACTGCTTGATTTGATCCGGTGTTGGTGGATTTTGAGTTGGTTCCATGATCGACTGATCCCTGGAAATTGGTATCTTTTTCTCCTTTAGACCTTCTTCTTTGGACAAGAGGTCGGCAATGTAGGACTCCTGTGTGACAAACCACACTTCTCCTTCAGCATCTTTTCCTTTGGGGTGCTTCTTGACCTCCATGCCCAAAAACCTCACAGCCTCCTCACTTACAAACTCCGGCTTCGAAGTGATCCAGGTCTTTTCGAAGATGGCCTTGACCGCCTCGACGACATAGTCAGGGCCAGTGATGAAAATGTCATCTACATATGACATCACCAGTCCTCGCATCAGGCCATTGGTCATGGTTGGAGTCTCTTCTCCTTCATCTTCTACCGCTATCTTCCATAGATTCGGCTCTGACTCCAGCTGAACCAAAACCAGCATCCTTTTCTTTCCTTCTTCCCAGACTTGAATACGAAACTCTCTCATAGTCTGGTCTCTGAGCAGACTCCAAAGTCTTGGGCTTCTCCTGAAACCATACACCGCTTTCAGAGGCTGATACATCACTCCCTTGGGGACGTAGTGCTTCTCGTGGAAAATTGGAGGAGGTTTGATGAGGATGATGCCGTCGTCCTCCTGGACGCTCATATCTGCATTCAAGAAGGCAGTCTTCACATCCAGAGTGCACGCTTGCCATGATTCTCTGGCAGCCACCCAAATCATGATGCGAAAAGCGGCCGCATCGGCGCCACTGGAGTACGTGGATTCATCTTTCTTCTTCTCCTCAAAATTTCCACATGCTACCAGCCGTGCCTTCTTTTTTCCACCGCCTCCCCCGGGTTTCAGGGTGTAGACCATTTTCGACGGTATGCACTCAATCTTCACTCCCTTCTTTCTCGCCTCCTCTTTCAAATCCTCAACCTCCTCTGGACTGAGAACCTTCAATGCCCCTTTTTCGTCCACCAAAGAATGAAATTCCGCATCAATCGCTGGAAGCCATTGGTGCCACTGACTTGACACCTCCTTCGGCGAGATGATCCTTGTCTGAAGGACTTCTTCATGTTCTTCTGGAACTTCAATCATCTTTCTCAAAGCTCCAATCACCACCATCTCATCCACAACGCTCTCAGGATCGTCCTCCACCATGTGCTTCATCTCCTCTTCGATGAGATCTGTGATCCTCTGGTTCTTTTTCAAAATCTCATCCTTCTTGGATTCTTCTGGATCTTCTTTTCCTTCCAGCTTCCGAACGGTGGTCTTATCTCTGAGCCTTCTCCTCGCTGTCCAAGCATCCAGAAGGTCTCTTTCAAGGGCAAGCCATTCGACTTCATCTTCAGGTTGTGTGGTTGGCCTCAGGATGCTCCTCGTAAGTCTGGGAGGCTCTCCTTCTTTGTAAATCCAATGTCCATGTTCTTCAGGGGCGGGACAAAGATACTGCACCTTCTCAACTCCCATGTCCATCGTAGCCTTTCTCCAGGATCTTTTCCGGACCCTCACCTCTTTGAGAAACCTGGGAAAGTCAGGCTTTTTGTCCAGCCTCACCAGCCTGTTCAGCTCTCCCACATAGCGCAGAGCTCACGGCCACCATTCTGCTCCAACACAAGCCTGACTCAAGGCTTTTCTGACCTGGCATTTCAATGCCTTTACGGCACATTCTGCTCTGCCGTTTCCTCTTGGGTCATCTCCTGGCGTCCTTGTGACTATGATGCCTCTCTCTCTAGCCCATCTTCTGAAGTGGTTGCCAAATTCATGACCCTGATCTGTATGGATACGATTGACATAGTATCCATCTGCCTTCAGCCGAAGCACAAACTCCATCGTTGTTTTGGCCACCTCCCGTGACGTCTTTGTGATCATCGGCAGCCCTAACCGAAACACCTTGAGCTCGGTCTCGTCGATGTCTGGGCCATCTTGTTCAGGGCCCGGCTGCTCTCCTTCTTCAGGGTAGTGGGCTTGGGACGGGTGCTGAAAAGCAACTCCGTCTTGCCCGGCTGGGCGCTGGACCAGATCTCCTCCATCCGACCCCGCGTCGCCAGCCCTACCCTCTGGGGGCTCACCTGGATCTCCTCCATCCAGGGCCACTCCAGCTTCTTCTTCTGCAGCCACGACATCGATCTCAGGTGCATCAGGTTCCAGCTCCTCTTCACTTGGCTGCTTCATCTTTTCACTACCTTTGGGAACTCTCCATGTCATAGCTCCAACCAGCATGTACCTCGCCTGTCCTCCTCCCTTGTCGTAGGCCTTCTTCAACGGGCCAGCCACATCCACTGACAACGTGGCACCAAATGGGTGTTGTATCCTTCTATGTTGATCGGAGATCTGTTGGCTCTCCTGGCATACCCGACAGTCTCTTCTGTGTGGAATGTGTCCAAAAGCAATGTGCTCAGCCCAGGACAACTCGCAGATCTTCGGGGTCTTGTTGAACACCTGTGAGAGCAAAGCAGATGCCACCATTGACATAACTCCAGGAGCCCACCTCGAGAGCTGCTTGGAGTCTGTGATCTTTCCAACTTCTTTCCCTCTCCTCCTCTGATGTGACTCCACGTCCAGCTCCAGTGTGCCCCCAAACGTCGTAGGCTTCGTAGCTAAACCTCCAAGACGGCTCTGCTCAAAAGTCTCCTCACAAAACCCGAACTCTTTCTTGAGCTCCTTCCATTCCGTGGTGTCCCAAAAGCTCACAACCTCTTTGTTGTACGCCTTCGGCGATGCTGGTTGCTCCAAACTGAAGTGCACCGGCTGGTCCATCCCCCTCGCCTTGGCGACATAGTGGGCTACCATGTACAAAAACATCATTCTCCAAAGAAGCACATCGTCTTCTTCCAAAATCTTTGCCTCTGCCTCTGTGATGTCCTCTTTCCCAAATTCTCCTCCTCCCCACTCCCTGATTGGCCTCGGCGCATCTGGGCGTCCTTTGATAGGTCGGTGTCGCAGGATGCTCCTTGTCCTGCAATTTGGCCCACCCACAATCGCCTTCAGCTTCCCTTCCAGTGCTGATCTCAACAGCCCTGAATAGCAGCCTCTGTCCTTGAGAAGATCGTGACTTTCTCCTCTTAGGACATCCAGTTCCAGCAGCCACCCATCTCTTGCACAGAGTTGCTGCAAGGCTCTGGAAAGCGTGAATCCAGACTCTTCTCCTGCAAAGAGGTGGACTGCAAATCCTTCTCTTCTCATCGTCTTTCGCAGCCTCCGGTTGACTGGCAAATCAGACCACTCTCCGGGCTGCACGATCAAGCGCTTCTTGATCCAACTTGGAAGGCCTGACAAAACTGGATGGCTTTCCAACAACGACCTCATCCAAGAAACTTCAGCCTCGAAACCTTCAGCAAACTGTGGAACTCCAACCTTGGCATCCTCCATTTCTCTGATCAGCTCGAGTGCCAATCGTCGGGGAACTTGTGGACATCTTTCAGAGCTTGACACTGGAAGCTCACCTCTGTTGGGGTGAAGAACCTGCAAACTTCCGTCCTTCCACCTGATGTCACAAGAGAGAACCTCAGCAAGCAGACCCATAGGCACTATTGGTTCGATGTTCTCGTTGGGAGAAATCATGGCTCCCCCTGGGCTCATCTTCAATCTCGTAGTGGCATTCGCTAATGCCACCTCAACTTCAGTGTAGGTGGAGTCGTTCTCCCCCTCTCTCAATGGCCTCAGGGGGTGTGTTGCCCCAGAGTCGATCAGGCCCAGGACTGAACTTGTTGAGATCCTCTGCAGCTTGAAGGTCTTCAGCCTCATAGCCTGAAGTTGTTGCTGAAGCTTGTCCATAACCTCACTTCTCACATCTGCCTCCTGCGAACTCATTCCGCTGGATTGGGCAGAGGGCGGACTTGAAGTCGGATTCAAAGACTTCAAGACCTTGTTCGCCTCGTCGATCAAGTCTTTCATAGCCGTTTCTTGACTGGATGTGGAGACCGAGTCAGAGTCCTTTCTTTCATGCTTCTCATCAGACTTCAGCTGCTTCTGCTTGGGTGGACTTCCTTCCCCTCCAGAGCTTGATCCTTTTGGACGTGTACATGCCGTTGCAAAATGCTCCGAACTTCCGCACACATAGCAGCGCCTCTTCTCATCCTTCTGGTCGTGAGAGAAGGAGCATTCTTTTCCTTTACGGCATCCATGTTCAGTGAGGAAGAAGCGACATCGTGTCTTTGTTGCTCCATCTTCTTGACCACGATCTTGACGATCCTTCCCTTTTCCTTTGCCTGACTTATCCACCTCCATGGACTTCAGCTTGGGACCATCAGTCTTCGTTGCGCTTGCACTTGTTCTTTTCTCGGTGAGCGCAACTTGATCCAGCTCTGCAAGAAGGTGAGTTGCAAACCTGCTAACTGTGAGCTCGGTCGGCGTCGTGTCCACCCCCAAACTTGACCTGGCTAATTGGATCCGAAACTGCAGCTCCTTGTGCGACTCCAAGACTCGTCGGGTCATGCGGTTCAGGCCCTTCAAGAGCAATGCCGCATCAGGGACCACCGCACCAATCTCCACAGTGCGGGACTTCCACCTCAACCACCGTCTCAAAGCAGCTGGTGCGTCTCCAACATTTGTCACCTCCGGTGGGTCCTCAAGATTTCGAAGAAGCATCTGTTTCTCTAGAACTCCTCCAGGACAGTACGTCAAAAAGAGGTGTGACAAGATGCTGAAAACTCCAACCTTTCTCCCTGCCACCAGCTCTTCTCTTACAGTTTCTGGTACAGCCTGAAGAAGCATCGTTAACATGCGACGTTCCAATCGTAGCCAACGTTCCTGACAGAGACTTGAAGGAGCAACCGCATCATGGGTGATCTTGTCGAGAGGGTTGAGAGACATGTGGCAGTGGTACCATTTCTCCACCTCTTTGGTCATCAGCGTCCACCATTCCTGACTGGTCGTGGACATGTCAGCTGCCACAGGTTCCACCATCAGAAGCCAATCTCCCAACTGAAGTGGCCCTTGCGTTGCATTGCAAGGTGGCAACGGTGGCAACTCCAACACTCCTGACCTCACCACTTCGACACCTCTCACCGTGCCTGCTTCCTCCTTTTGATCGATCACCTTCTTGTGCATCTCTTTCATCGACTCTAACATCATTGCCATGAACTCCAAAGACTTCTCAGTGAGTCCTCCGTCTGTCGCGCCTTTGTGGTGACGCGGTCCTTCTGCTTCTTCTTTCTCTTCAGATCTTGTCGGCCTCCGTGCCGAAGCTTCTCCAAAACTTCTCGGCTCTTCTGCTTGCCTTTGGGGGTCTCCAGCCTCCTTTAGGGCTTGTTGGCGTTCTAGCCCGTCCTCCTTGTCTTTGGTGGTCTCAGCCTGAAAAGAACGGGGATCTGCAGCCTCCTTCAGGGCTTGTTGGCGTTCTAGCCCATCCTCCTTCGCTTTGGTGGTCTCAGCCTGAACGAAGCGGGGGTCTGCAGCCTCCTTTTTCTTTGGTGGCTCATCAAAACGACCCTTCTGGCTTTCAGGCGTCAAGAATCTAGGTTCTTCTGAAAACTTTGATTCCAAAAATGCCAATCTTTCTTTCAACGTCCTATTCTCTTCCAAAACAACCTCCATGTTCCTACGGATCTCTTCTGTTTCAATCCGTTCTTGATACTGGCGATTTCTCAACGGTGGCAGACCTACTTCCTCTTCATCTGGCAAGAAAGCTGGTCTGGCTAAATGTGGAGTGAATCCCATCCCGTGCCCCCCATACAACCATGCTGCTTGGTTCTGCAACCTGACAAGTTGTGCAACCTGTTCTTCTGTGAACAGTGGCGTCTGCATGACTGGAGGGACACCTGAATTTGGAAACGATGAATCTCCTATCTTGCTAGGACTTTCATTGGGGTCTTGATGAGCTCTGGATGACTCCCTCTGATCCCTACCAGAGTCTTGCTGATGCTGTCCATGGCCAGCGTCCTGCAACATTGGAGATACCTGATGTCCCTTAGTGGCAGGTGTGACGGCTTGATCCTGAGCAAATTCCTCAGGAGATTTCGAAGGCGGTTGACTTGGGGGAATCTGAGATGCTGGTGAAACTGCAGGTGTCACTGCCTTAGAGGTCTTACCTACGTCCTGAATCTGTTTCTGTTCACTCTTCGGTGCTTCTACAGACCTGGAACCTTGTGCCTCTTTCTCACTCTGATCCCCTCCTTGTCTATTCAAATCTTCCAAGGGCTTCTCACCTCGCTCAATGGCCTCTCGAGACATCCTCTCCTGGGCCTTCTTCATCTCAGCTTCACCCTGAGCCAATTCCTCAGGGGTCGCCCTTCTCCTTCTAACGTCGCTCATAGTGAACCGCTTGGGCTCATAACCTGCTGTTGTGCAGGTAACCTCTCCTACACCTTGATGTTACACTTCTCGATTTGTGCAACCTTCAACTGAAGCAACGGCCAACCTGCTTTTTCCTCTGCAGGATGGCTTGATCTCAAAAGAGGGCAGCTGCGGTCACAACTGATGAACCCTCAAGTGAAAATGAAATGAAATGTCTGCAAAATGTAATGGGAAGTCAGCAGTTTTAGCCATCAAAAATGGTGGTGAAAACATGACCATCATGACCCAACAATCGTGGGGATATGATGTGAGCTCCTTGGCTGCCAATGTCATGGGATGATGTTTTTACCTTATTTCTTCCAATGCGAATGAAATTCATCCCTTTCGTATGTTCATGTTGAGCACCCCCCAGAAACCACAAGGTTTAGTAGGGGATGAAACATGATGAAACCACATTCATAGGGGACCATTTGTAATTCGTGCGGGTTTCATTTGAACAGAGGATGGGATTCTTCAGTCATTCACAAGCACATTGGTGAACGCTGCGGCCCAAGCCACGGTATCTGCTCTGGTCTCGTAGCCATAGCCCTGCGCCACAGGTGTCGATATATTTCCTCTAAAAAGGTCTCCTTTTGGAAGGGTTGACTATTCTTCAACCGCAAATGCAATATGAAGCAAAATGTGGTTCAACAAATGGATTAAAGGCTTGATATAGGCATGATTCTACGCATGATGGTTAGGTACCGATGAGGAAATAGAAGATAGAAAGACCTTTGCACAAAGGCTCAAGCCTTTGTGACTTTGTGTTGGAAATGGGCAGTGATAGGCGCACAAGATCATACACTTCCGGCAACAGGATGTTGGCTGGTCAAAACTCTACCCATCCGACAAGAAAAGAATATCGACTGGTATCATCCCGTTTGTAAGGATGGAATGTCGCTTTCACGCGTTCGATCCTCTCATGTCTTCCTTCTCATGTCTGGGTCAGCTTTCCTTTTCAAAGCCATGTTGCCATGTTCTTCCGAAAAAAATATTTGCCCATTTTGGGGCAATAGCAACCATGGTGAAAAAAGGAATACTGTAGCATTTTTCTCCAAGCAGGATGTCCTATTAAAAAATAAAAACGTTTGGCTAATGACCATTCTAAGTCCACCCCCTAAATTTGTTGCCTATTGGGAAACCTTGAGTTCCAAGTTAAATTTACGGCTAAATCTAGGGGGGTCAATCTTCCAGTTTTATTAAATCCCTATTGTTGATGGTTAAGTCCCTATTATTGATGGCTAATCCCCAGGAAATCCTCGGTTTTTGTTGAACCAACCGTCGCCAAGACCCATGTCCTCCAGGAAAGCCGACACAGTGACTGGCGCGAGGGCTTGGAAGCGCTCAGGGTGGCTGCCGACCCGCTGCTGTGAGAGATAGACCGGAGGACGGGTACCTGGGAAATCGCAGTTAAGTTCATGGGGAACCAATTGAGGAGCCACCAAAAAACTGGGGTTTTCAGGGGTTCACCATGAAAAATTGGGAGTTGTCCAATTTTACCTTGAAAAATTGGGCAAAATGTTGAGGTCCTACCACGAAGAACTGGAAGTTAACATGGTCTTAACTCTTAACCATCAAACACGAGGATGTGTGGTTTGTCATTGGATTGGTGTCAGGGAAATATATACAGGAAACCTGTATACAGGAAACCTTGGTTGTCATCTGGAAATAAGGGGTTTTTCAATCTGGCAATGGCAGATCACAAGTTGATGACTAGTTTGTAGAGGATATTCCTTGACCATGTTAAATTGCCAGTGAATAACATGTTCTATACACGTTCTATCCCAAACATGAACAAACCCAAAAATGAATCAAATAGAATCCAACCACACATTTCTGCTGATAAATATTCCTATATCAAATTTGGCAAATCCCTACAAAGCGGCCTACCCAGTGAATTCAAGTGGAGTGTTATATCATATCTACCATAAATGCAACAGCTATTTATCTTTCAACCATCAACCTCCGATGGGGCATGGCTTGGCCAAGATATTTTCCAGGACTCCAATGTTTCAATCTTTGGAAGGTGCGTTAATACATACATATAGCCAAAACAATACCATCTGGTTAACATAGACCCGGGCAAGCCGGCGGCGGAAGTTTCCCAAACATAAATGACCTATAGTTCAAAGTCAAAGACAACCTGTCCCGACCGTGTCCTTCCCTCGACACTCCACACCTCACACTGCACACTGCACTCTTCGCACTCCAAACTTCAAACTTCACACTCCACACTTCACACTTCACACTCCACACTTCTCACTTCTCACTTCTCACTGCTTCCTTCACACTCCAAACCTCACACTTCACACTTCACACTTCACACTGCGCTCTTCGCACTCCAAACTTAAACTTCACACTCCACACTTCACACTTCACACTCCGCACTTCACACTTCTCACTTCCCACTGCTTCCTTCACACTTCACACTTCACACTGCACTCTTTACGCCCCACACTTCACACTGCTCTAAACCTACGTGCAACAAAAAAACACTAGTGCCAAAATGGAGAAAATCTGCTAACAAATTTATTTCGCAGCCTTCATGCAGCCACTCCAAGACGATTTCCGAGATCCAGCTGCAAAAGACAATAGTATTACAAATGCAGCCACAGCACGAAGCAACTTTGACGCAGCCATTGCAATAGGATCTGCAGAGACTGAGTTGCAAAACACAATAGAACTACGCGCAACGGCGTCGGAAATTGTAGCTCCAAAACCGGATCTCGACGCCAGAGCGAAAAAAAGACGATTTTGAAGCATTTTTTTAAAGGATTTTTAGAAGGAAAATCACTAGCGCCAAAATGGAGAAAATCTGCTGACAAATCACTGTCGCAGCCTTCATGCAGCCACTCCAATACGATTTACGAGATCCAGCTGCAAAAGACACTAGTATTACGAATGCAGCCACAGCACGAAGCAACCTTGACGCAGCCATTACAATGCGATCTGCAGAGACTGAGTTGCAAAACACAATAGAACTACGCGCAACGGCGTCGGAAATTGTAGCTCCAAAACCACTTGCAATGCCATTTGCATTGCGGGAACGATCCTACAGTTGCAAAGCACAATGGAATTCCATCGGCAACTCATCCACCAGCACCACTTGCAATCCCATTTACATTGCGGGAACGATCCTACAGTTGCAAATCACAATGGAATTCTGTCGACTGCACATGCACGAAAAACAGGTGAAACCCCATTTACAATGCGGAACCGATCCGACCATGATCCGACCATGATCCGCCCATGATCCGACCACACACGAGACCGTCTCGCAACCGTCGCACCGCAGAGGTAGATCATCGAGGTTCGGGGACGGACTTTGTATGGAAAAACATAGGATTTCGTGCATCTGCTATCTCTCAAAAACGCATTTCGTGCGAGACTTCCTTCAAAACTCCATCGGCAACTCCTCCACCAGCACCACTTGCAATGCCATTCTAACTCTTTCTTTGACTAACTCTTTCCCTGACATTCTAAAAGTTACAATTAACTCTGTCCCTAACTAACTCTTTCCCTCACTAACTCTTCCTTTGACTGGCTCTTTCCCTGACAGTCTAAAAGTGACAATTAACTCTTTCCCTAACTAACTCTTTCCCTCACTAACTCTTTCTTTGACTAACTCTTTCCCTGACATTCCAAAAGTCCGTAACACGGAAGTTTCTCCCCCTAAACTTCCTTTGATGACTAACAGTTTGCCATGGAAAATCACCACCCATTTTTAAGAACGGTGAACCATCTATTTCTATGGGCCATGGCTTAACCATGGCGAACTGTTAGTCATAACCAGAGGGTAACATCTTTTCGCCTCATTTTCCCCTTGGACATAGTCACAGCTGATCGTCGCCCTTGGCTCACGGTCATAGCCACGCCCGGCGCGGGCGCGGGAACGCGCCCGGCGCCGCGCGCCCACCACAGCCCCAGCGCGGCCGGCCATCCATAGGTTGGGGCCTGTTGGGGTGATGTTGCTTCGATGGTCTACTATGGTTAAGAACAATTAGTCATCATAATCACCAATAAATAGATCATAGCCCATCGAACCATGACACTCAATGGATTATTATTAAGAACAATTAGTCTATGTCGGTGTTTTTTTTTAAATGCGATTTTTTGTCATAACCTCCAGTGGGTGGTCACCAAAAAACATCCCCAGTGGTGTTTGACAAAAAAATGAGTCAGAAATTCTAACAGTCATCTAACAGTCATTGTCATCATCACCATAATAGTCTGTAACACTGCTGATATGACGATCGGAATAGAACAACCTCTGATGTCACAGCTGTAAATTTGATTAAATTTGATGGTATTGTACCTTCACTGGAGGAGGTTGGCACAAACCAAGAGAAAATGGTCGTTTCAGGTAGTTTCTGTTGAAACTCTGGCCATGGACGCGATAACCTTTCCATGCTCGTTGACGCGATTGTCACTTGCGACTCGGAAGCGAGAAAAACACTGCGGATCAGGTCAACATAACACTTTCACGTCGAATGTGGGATCATGTCTACGTCGAGTGTTGGTCATGGTTCCAGAATAGTCCACTCTCATGCTCTGCACATGCCAGTCTCAGTCCTGAATCTTCAACGGTCGCATTTGATCATTTTTATCCAACTTTGCGGAGAGCTGAACTCCGAGAGTCAGGGGGGTTTGGCGTTTTTGGCTCACAGAAAACCAAACTGGGTGCAGCCCATTCCGAGATATTCCGAGTTGCACCCAATCCCTGAACGAAATCGACCCCGCCACGCCACGGCCCGGGGTGGTTTGTGCATTGCGGTGCACACGAGAAATATGTGATCCAACGTACTCCAACAGGGCATCTTAAACGTGACCAAAGCAATTGAATATCAAACAATATCAAGCAAATATTGAGCATGATCGTGATAGTTGTTCATGTTTTGATATTCAAAATTCATGTTGAATCACATATGATCTATTGATCACTATCAAATACCAATACTGTACTAATTGTACAACTATCCATGTCAATCTGATTCAACATGCTGATCAATACTAATATCAAATCATGGTCCGTTGATCATTATTAAATCACTACTATTATAATGATATTGATCCATTGAATGTTATTCATGCACTATTAAATCACTATTGTTGAAGGTTTACCACATGATTGATCATTGCTAGTATTGAATGATAGTATCCCAAAACTAATAATGATAACTAGTGATTAGTGTTGAATAATAATTATGTATCTTGAATGAGAATGATTAGTATTGAATGAGCTTATTTTGGGATGATTGGCATCAGTATCGATTAGTATTGCATGATAACTATGATCATTATTGAATGATACTTATGGTCATTAATGATATCATGTGCCGCATTATTGATCATCATCAGTATTAAATGTTAATTACTGGTGTAATTATTATACATTTACATTGATATTAATCAATATTAGCGCATTTTCAACCATCAATATCCCAAAGAATTCTCCTTATTGATTATGATAAGCAGTGATAGTAGTTACCACATGTTACCACCATCAGTGGATCATTTCTTGATGCCTAAATCTTCATCCCTGCAACGTGGCATCTTGGCTTGGCACGGGCTCGGCGAAGAGCCGATCAGGGCAATGGAAAGGTCACCCGTTTCCTAAGGATTCGTCCTGGTTGTGGTTAGTAACTGGATCATATGCAGGTTTCCTAGAATGGATCCCCAAGTCACCATGGTTGTTGAAAAATACTTGGTCTAATGGAGTCTGATGACTTGGAGAAATTTCGTTCAATGACCTTTCCATTGTCGCAGTATCGCCTGGGCTTGCCTCTGTCCAAACATAAGGCCTTGGCGCCCACTTCCCCCAGATCTTGGGACCTTCGTCGGAGACAGCTCCGGGACGGAGCCCGTCTATGGTACGTCACGTCGCGTCGGCGTCGGCGTCAGCGTTGCGACCTTCGGAACTCTGTGCTTTCGGACCAGGATCCACCGGGATCCGCCTCGGCAAGCCATGCCAT